TTTGTCACCAACAACCATCTGTCATCTCTCCACACTCAATATAGTATGTCCCTTTTTGTAGATGCCCACCCCACAGACAAGTTCTTAAAAAACCCAGAAAAGTTTCTACTTTTATGAGGGGGGAGGCACAAAAATGTTTGCCTTCAGTCTGGAGGGGGGGGTCAAAAAAGTTTTCAATCCTTATTTTCCCCATTTCCCAACCCCCCCCTCCCCATAAATAATGACCACTCCCTAATGCACATTCAGACAATCCTGGTCAAAAATCTTGGCGCACTTAGTCCAAATAGCATAACCTTTACTTCATTTCTGATTACCATGCATACTTGCCCATTTTATGCAAAATTTCATGTCCAAACACCTCCTATATCCCCCTTATCAGTGTTGTGCAACACCTTGGACGTCTAAAACACTACACACAACATTGAACAGTCAAATTTCGCACAGTCCGTGTCAAGTGCGCCAACATTTTTGACCAGGATTGTAGTTACTGTTCTACAGTAGTTCACACATAGAATAGAACAACCGTAACTAAGCATTTGATGAGCACTACAATAAAAGTCTTTCATTCATGTAGATAATTCTAAAGCTTAGCCGAATAGTTACCCTTGTTCTACTCTACAGGGTGAGTAAAAAAAAACTGATACCTTCGCGGCTAATTTGAATAACAAAGGTGTCAGTTTTTTTACTCACCCTGTATATATGCTTCTGTATACTAGAACAATGATAATTAGGCATGTGAGTTATGTAAAGTTGTGAATTGGGTATAAACAAACTTAGCCAAATTTGTCTATCGTCTACAAGGCGAGTAAAAAGAAACTGACACCTTTGTTATTCAAATTAGCCGCGAAGGCATCAGTTTTTTTTTACTCACCCTGCACATGCATGTATAGTGGGGTAACTTGTTTGATGAACTTTGTCTTTGATATATTCTTAAATCCCATTTTCATATGAAGACATGAACAATTTCATATGAAGACATAAACAAACAAAGGCAGCAACCTTAATCTCAATCACAGCTTATCAGACACTTAGGCTAATATCTGAAAAAGACGCTCAATAGAGCGTCTTGTTCAAGTAAGATATACTCAGTCTTTGCTTTTCAACAAATAATTATTGTCCAGAAATTCATGTCGAAATCAGAAAATCTTCCATTTCATAAATAATAAGTGTAGCTATACACCTAAATAACAAGTCAAATATAAAAAAATATAATTTCTTACCTGGAAGATCTGAATAACATTTTAATAACTTCCCAGTGCCTTTTCCATCGTTTGGGTGACAAATATAACTAAGGTAAAATTTACCTTGAAATCAATGCACGTCAAGTAGTAAATTTTATATCTACGGGCCCGTAAACAGACTTCGCCTGGCTATATTTACGGCACTCTTATATGTATTAAACCAGCACTATATAAAATGTATTGTTTACGAAGGATTCAGCGAGCTCGAAAATAGCTCAGAAGGTTAGGCAGAGATGGCTGCGGTGCTGTATATATATATATATATATATATAGCACCTGGGTTTATTACATTTCTTACATCCTTTCTCTCTTACTAATGGTGGTACCTTAGCTCTAACTAAGTAACTTCTTAAATTACGGCTTGTTCTAAACGCCGTAAATGGTTCAGGGGTAAATACTTTACGAGCTTCAGTGTCTAAGTACAAAATATGCAAATTTTTCTTAATTATTAAACCAAAGTGCTTTAACAAAGGATGGAAAGCTATAGTTAAAGGCACTCCTGTCTTACAACTTTTTTCTCTAAGTATATTATTACTTTCCGCTTCAATATTGTATTCCCTGACCCTCTTAAATTCTCTTTCTATGAGCCATGTTGGATATGCTCTATTTTTAAGCCAACTAGACAGTTCTTGTAAGTGTTTCTCAAAATCCTCTTCACGCGAGCAAATTTTCTTGATGCGCAAACCCTGACTATATACGATAGATCTTTTAACGTGCGCAGGGTGCGATGACTCATAATGTAGATATTGATGGCAATCAGTTGGCTTACAAAAAAGACTTGTAATAAATCTACCAGCATCAATTCCCACCGAAACATCAAGAAAATTCACTTTAGTCTGCGAGTACTCGTATGTAAATTTCAAGCCAGGATAGAACGTATTAAGTTTTTCCATAAACTGCAACAGTTTATCTTCACCTTCTAACCAGACAAAAAAGATGTCATCAATATACCGTAACCACACCCAAGGTTTTATTTCTTGTTGTTCTAAAAACTCAGTCTCCACCATATCCATAAAAATGCATGCATACGGAGGAGCAAATTTTGTGCCCATGGCTGTCCCAGAAATTTGACGATAAACATCTGAATTAAATTCAAAATAATTATTTTAAGGACAAATTCCGCTAAACTAATAAGGCTTTCTGATGACACTGTTTTATCTTCACGTTCCTCTAGCTTGGTCTAGCCATCCTCGTGTGGGATACTGGGATAGAGGCTTGTAACATCAGCAGTTACAAGCAATGCATTTTCCGGAACTTTACCTATTTCTTTTAATTTATCCAAAAAATGTCCTGTATCTCGAATGTAGGACTTCCCTGCTTTCATTATGGGTTTAAGATGGTGATCTAAGAATTCAGACGCCCTCTCTGTAGGAGTCCCACAATTAGAGATAATAGGACGTCCGGGTACATTTCGAAGCCTTTTATGAATCTTAGGTAAAAGATATAGCCTCCCCAGTGCACACGAATTTTTAAAATCGTACGAAAAATACTTAAATTCGTCTTTCGAAATGCATCCTTGATTATACAGCTTATGAAACATGTTGTTGCTTTCCTCAGTCAAAGACATCACAGTTTCTTCCGAAAACCTTTCCATTTTGGTGTAAACATTATTTTCACTTAGTTGCGAATATCCTTCTGCTAAATAGTCATCTCTATCCCAGACCACAACACACGACCCTTTATCCGCTGGTTTAATGACGTGCACAGCTGATGGTAAACAATACAAAGTGAACCATCATTTAAACTGCGACTCAAAGTGTGTGGTTTATCTTTTGACATGTAAAGTGTGTAAAAAGCAATATGTTGGTCAGACGACAGATAAATTCCGCTTTCGATGGAACAATTATAAATCTTGTCAAAGGAAAGCAATGTCCAACAAAGCTCATACACAAGCCTTTTTTCATTCGCATTTCTTAGGTGAAAACCATAATGGCTTAATGAATGACTGTGATATAGTCATAATTGATAAAACCAACCCAGCAGAACCAACGATTAGGGAAATGTACTGGATTAATAGACTTATGACAATGTACCCCTCGGGGTTGAACATTGAACAGGATTCTGAGGAGTATGAATAATTATGTTCGTCTGGTAGGGTATATAAGTAGGGGTTTATGTTAACGATTTTTACTTGGAAGAAGACAATAAAGTCGAAACGTCAAAAAATATGTGTTAGTGATTAACTTATTTGAATGGCTTTTTGCCAGGTGATTAACTCCGATCTTCGTCAGTTGATATTAAAAACTAAGAAACCAATAAACAGGCCTCTATTTATACGGTTCGTTAGCTATTAATTTGGATGCATCAGTGACCCATAAACGTCTGGAATGTCAATATGGTCATTGCCAGAACTTTTGTCCACTTGGGAATACCAAGCCTCAAGGAACAATCGTTTGCGATAATTTTTCTCTCTACTAACTATTTCGGCGTTTTCAAAGTCCATATTATGATCATATTGCTCAACGTGTTGGGCTATCTTGGAATTCTTATCATTATATTCAACAGCTCTTTTATGTTTTTTTATTCATGTTTTCACTGCTCGGTTGGTTTGACCATAATAAGTAATATCACAAGCAGAACATTCAATTCTATAAACGATGTCCCTTGTACGGTTGGGGTCTAGCTTATCTTTTGGCTTTGGAAATTCTTGCTGTAATGTGCGAGTTGGTTGGAATGAAACACGACTTTTATCACGTTGTAATGTTCTTGTATTCTATGTGTAACGCCCTTTATATAAGGTAGAACTACATAACTAGATGAAACTGTTGATTTTTGCGTTACATTCACATTTTCATGCGAACTACTTAATTCCTTGTTTTTGTATCGCCTCCTGTTATCACATCTTTTTATGAATTGTAAGGGGTAACCGTTATCTCTTAGAACCTTTAGGACATGTTTTCTCTCTCTACGTTTTCCCCGGTTGGTTGAGGGTATCTTTTCTGCCCTATCGAGTAAAGTAATAACTACAGAGCGCTTGTGTTGTGGAGGGTGATTTGACGTATAATCCAGGTATTTGTCCGTATGCGTCTTTTTACGGTAAACATCAACCCTAATTTGACCATCTTGCCTAATTGTTACAGTATCCAAGAATGGTAATCTATTATTTTCTTCCGCTTCAATGGTGAATTGCTTGTCTATTGAATTTAAATGCTGATGAAACTCCTCTTACGTTTTAGGCAAGCATGGCTATCATCAACAAACCTGAACCACCAACATGGTGGGTTGAGAGCAGTTGTTAAAGCAATTTCTTCTATGTGTTCCATAACGAGATTGGCTATTGTGGCACTAATCGTGATTACGTTTTTTACATAGCTAGTGACAGGAAACTTTTAATCTTATAATATATAAATATGAATCCTAGCTGCATGTAATGTTAGCATTTTTCGTCATATATATATATATATATATATATATATATATATATATATATATATATATATATATATATATATATATATATATATATATATAGAGAGAGAGAGAGAGAGAGAGAGTTTACTGAATTTAGCGTCCTCTATAGCGCTTAATATCGATGCGTGGGTTATAAAAGTTATGGGTTTTAGTTTTTGAATGACAACTTCTACTTACCTGCTAGCAGTGGTTTCCAAATACGAGCCGATTAAAAACTGCCATTCGAAATCACATTTTTCCACCTTTGTGCATAATTAAAGCAGTATAGAAGCAATTAATCACTAATTTGTCTTGCCAAACAGTAAATTTAAGATAGAATTACCAATTTATCAACAATTATTTCATTTTATCCAATAATTACGTTACAGCTTTTTAAATTAGAATTCATGAATTTTAGATTGCAATGGAATTTATTTTCAATAGTTTTTTTGCATCCAATTCTCAACAGTGGAAAAATGCGATTTCGACCTGACTTACCTATTCGATTCGTATTTGGTAATTTTCCTTCATAATGTTACAAAAAAAGGTATATTTCGACAGCTAAAAGTGTGATTTTTGTGCTGTTTAATTAAGAATATTGTACATGTCGATAAACACAATATCTGACCCACTCGAGCATGCTAAAGTTGGATTACCTTTGTTTATCCACCTTGACGTATAAATATACGCTACAGTGCATGCATGCATGCATGCATGCATCTCTTATTAGTGTTTCCAATTAATCCTTTATATATTTACAAGGTCAATTTTTTTGAATTGAAGTTTATTTTTGTTCTTTTGGCTTTTCCCCTTGACCCTCAGTAGAATTTACTACTTCGGCTGTTTCCGACATTATGATGCAACAACTAACAATCCATAACATGAAGATATTTAAATATCCTGCAGTGATGCATTCTTTAAAAGGATATGAAATGAATGATTTATTGTATAGAAATAAACACACTAGTGACTGTCGCTAGTATATATTCTGAAAAGAACTTTCTTATTCGTGGCAGGTATGGGGGTAGATATGAGGGTAGCAGCTCTACGTCTTCTTTCAAAGCCAATTGCTCTGCCAGGTTCATTGACAG